ATATGAACAAGAAACGGTTGCCTTTAAATAAAAGTGCAGTTAAACACAAAGCCTTAAAAATATTTGATTATTTAAAACAAATGGGACAGTCGTCGGCTGATGAAACCAGTGTTAAATTCATGGCTAGCAATGGCTGGTTTGAAAAATTCAAAAAACGCCATTCAAATGGCAAGTTTTTCTCTTTTTAGAACCGAATCCCAGTTTTTGTATTAAGTTGGTGTCTCTTATAACGCGATTTCCCATAATGCGGTATTTTCGAGGAACGTATCTACCGCGTTGTAGGAGGCCTACCTGTATACAGAATCTGAAATATTTGGTATTAAAAATAATTTAGCAGTATTAAATATATTTATTTCATACACCAAAAACATTTACTTTACCTTTTTCTATAACATTAAAGATTAATAATCTAAAAGATAAATATCTAATATTTTAATTATCATTTTTTAAAAATTGATTTCCTTGGCAAAAAAAATTGTTTTTTATAATTACCTAATCTTTAATTCAATATAAAAATTATTAAACCACATTAAACTTAACAACATATGATTATTATTGCTTTAGATCAATTAGTAAAATAGTTTGAAATTTCAGTAGTGTGTTCCCTTAATTAAAAAAGCTTTTTCTAAAAACTGATCATTTGAAAATTGAAAATAACAATAAAAAATTGATTTTTTTTTACTAACTTAATATATATCAAAGTATGCTAGCTGTTTGCTAATTTTCTAAACAAAATTTTTCACTAGATTTTAAATTGGTATGTAAATACTTGAGTATTCAAATAACTCAGAGAAAAGATATGTATCAAGATAATAACAGAACATTATTGCAATGTATACAGAATATTTTTACAATACATACAACACAATACACAAAGTCAAGTTTGTTATATTCAAAAATTTTATATTTAGCATAAGACTTTTTTGAATGGAATGATTGTTGTTTATTGTCTTATGTAATTGAAATAAATATTTCCATGAATACATTATTTATATTGCAATTATGCTAATTTTTTTAGAATATGGATGATGATCCAGTGCAGATAAGTTTTGCTAAAAATGGACAACATGAAGGTGTAGCATTTGAAATAACCAAAGAAGAATTAGAAGATCAAGCACTATATCCACACATTCTTACCAAAAATTGTTCCTTTGAAGTTAATTTTGGACAAAATGTAAGTTTATAAAACAATTTGAAGTAACTGTTTAGATGAAAAATTATTTTAATAAGTAATAAGATTTTAATATGCTCTCTCTTCTCTCTCTCTCTCTCACTATATATATAATGAAAATTTTTTTTATTGAATTTCAAGGTTAATTATTTTATTATGGCAATTAATATTTAACATTGTAACATGAATTTTTTCAAAACAAAGCTTCTAATTTTAATGTTTATTGTGCATTATGTTATTTTTAATTCATTTATTCTATTATATAAGAACAAAAGAATCTTAATAATATCTGACTTTCTTCATTGTAAAACAAAATTGAAAGAAGAAGGAAGGGGAAAAAAAAACAATATATGGTTAAAGTTTGTTTTATAGAATTGAATCCAAAAGAGTTGCCATTTTATTACAAAACAATAGTAAATTACTTTATTTAATAAAGTAACTTATTATTACCTTAAAATGATTTGTTTTGTTTGGTAGAAATCTTCCATTTGCTGGAAATTTTATTTATATTTAATGTATGATCCTTGAAATTATCCTCAGTTTTTGCAATAAATGGTTCTTACTAAAATTTTTAATGCATTAATGTTTCAAATTTCTAATATTTAGTTCATCTTTTGTATACATATGAAATTTTAACTTTCTGTTCTAGAGTTTTGAGAGATGATTTTTAGGGACTGAAAAAATATTTCGAATTATTCCACCATACTACTGTATATATGTTGTGCATAGTGGAAGTTGATTGAGTGATCATAAATGTTTTCCCACTTCTCTGTCTATTGCCTTTTACTTTTGACATACCATAAATCTGATGACACTTTAGTTAATATAAGTCAAAATGGAAGACAGTAAACAGGTACCTATCAAGTGAAATGTGGAAATATTTTGTTAAGTTAAAATACTGAATGATGGTGTTTGCCTTTTAAATATTGTGATATCTTTGGGGATGTCTCCAATTTTTGAACCATGTTAGAGTGAAACCATGTAGGAACTCCATATTGTACAAGAGTTATCTGTACATAAGCAAAATGATTAACTTTTTACTGCTGAATGAATGAATGACATATTTTTTTTTGTAAAAACTATCAGGTAACAAAACAAGTTCGTACAGTGGTGCCACGAATAACAAACACTGCGAACAATAGACTTCCTGTTTGGCTGTTACATGACTCGAGCAACGGACTGGCTGTGAACAACAGCCTTTCCATTCGGCAATTATGTGAGGCGAACAACAGTCTTTCTGCAAGCAAGTGTGAATTATGTTTCCGTACTTTTGCCATTGCCAATGACATCTTGCTATTTTTATAATATATTAGTATTATTAGAATATATTATTAGTAGGCCTATATCTGAAGTACAGAGCTGCCATTGGGATTCGGCTGCTCCCTTGTTTATTACGTACATCACCTCAGTGCAGGGTATTTACATTTATTCAAGTGTTGTGCAAATCATGGCTTCTAAAAAACAGAAAGGTGATTTCAATTGAAACAAAGCAAGACATCATCAGAAGGAGTGAAAGTTGACAACAACTTCCTTGTCAAATGGGGAGGTTAAGGAGTTTATCAACACTCATTATCCAAATAGAGCTGAGGCCACCAGGATCAATGATGTCTACAGTGACACCCTTGCCTGTCATTTCTGACAGGTGTTGAAGAAGAGAGAGAAACAGACCACCTTGGACATGTTTTTCAAGAATGACCCTGCAAACTCCAGTAGCCTCTCCTGAATCTGACTCTGATTAAAAAACAATAAAAAGAGACCTGCTGCAGTGTGTAAAAAGTTTGTATCTGTATGAATGTGTGAAGAAAGTATTCCTCCACTTCCTTCTCACAACATCTGACTACACGGCATAATCTGCTCTATTTTCATTTTTTTTATGGTACAGTATGGTTATTTTATGCTGCGGAACGAATTAGATGTTTTAACATGTATTTCTATGGACTTTTCACTTAATGGACGTGCACCCGGAAATGATTAAGTACGTTATACGAGGCACCACTGTATATTCTTTCAATATTAACATTTCAGTGAAGTTAAGGAGCTTGCAGAAATTGTTTGATATATGTAATGAAACTATTTGCTTGCATTTAAATCACCTAGAAAAAAACTGAAAACTAAACAAACTTCAGTGGCTTACAATCTCACTGTTTATTCCATAAGAATGAGGATGTTTTCTAACCTTTTTGGATAGATTATATGAGTGATGATAAATGGATTGTCTTTGAAAACACTAAAGCTCAGGATTCAATAACAGAAAAGTTTATTTGATGGAATACAGTTAGTATTATCTGTTATGATTTCTATCACTGGTTGAATAATTATTGCAAAAGTCTTTGCCCAGCTCCAAAATACCGTGCACTTGTTCATTACAAAAACTTTGTGCTTCTTTAAGACATTTCTCAATCAAAAACTTCAGATTATGAGGCGTTAAATAGAATTAAAAGAAACATTTTAATCTTTCAACGCCTCATAATCTGAAGTTTTTGATTGAGTTAACTGTTGGCGTGACATCCGAGCCGAGTATTTAATACACCTAACGAGACAATTCTCACTGTCATACTACAATGAATAGCCTAAGACAGGCTGCAAAGCCTTGTTATAGAAAGTCTAGCCACTTTCTATATTCTTCACTCACAGCACCATCCAATTATCATCTTTTCTTTGCCTTGGGTTACAGTTTGTGCAACTGACAATTTCAAAATTGAGAAATACTATAAACAGTGTTGGCAGCTTTCTTCACTTTTAAAGATAGAGAGTTATATCAAAATCACATTTACAAACATGCATTTTGTTGAGAAAAGGTTATATAGTTTGCTAGTGCTTACATTCCTGAATAAATCATTTTTATTCATTTTTTACATATTACTTGATTTTACCCTTAAAAAAAACAACACACACACACACACACACTTCTTATTGTCTGATAGATCTTTGAACTTATTATTTTAATGAATTAAAACTCAAAAAAAATGCAGATGATCATTATCAGAAAATGTAGTGATAAACTTAAATTTTATTAAAACATAGAGTTGTTGATATGGATTTAAAAAAATTCATTTTAGTAATAACTTTTGAACTTATTTTCAGTGTTTTGTGTCTTTATAACAGATAAAAATATTCATTACTATTATTTTATTTGTTGCTAATTTATGAATATATTTAGTTTTTAAGTTTACAAAATAATTATCATCAATTTTTTTTCAATGATTGAAATATATCAAATGATGATAACTGAGTTCTTCTTTCCCCAACTGAAAATTGTGAAGAAATTACAGTTCTGAAATGTGATGTTAAATACATGTTTACATTTATTGTTAAAAGAAATTATATTTATATATATTATTTATTATTATTATATATAGGAAGAACCTTATTTTCCTTTACCTGAGGGGTATGAGGATTACCGATTTATCAGCACAGTTCCATTAGAAGAACGTGAAAGAGGAGTAAAGCCACCAGAAAAGCGAGAGGATTGTGAGGTAGTTCTTATGATTAACTTTATATTCAAACATGAGAATTTTTTCATAAATTAGTGTGCTCTTGAGTTTTATTTTTGGAAAAATGAATTGGAAATCTAAAGTTAAAAAACAGTTTAATCCAGTTAGTCTTACTCTCACTGGGAAATCAAGGAAATGTCAGATAATTTCTACTGGTCAGAGAAACATATTTTACATATAGTCAGGGAATTCCTTTATTTTTTTCTAGCAATTTATGAATATTAGATTTGTACTTTGGATTGAATGACTTTTTATAATAAAACTAAAAATGTTTTAATATTATTTTTTTTTTATATTANTGTTATTTTTAATTCATTTATTCTATTATATAAGAACAAAAGAATCTTAATAATATCTGACTTTCTTCATTGTAAAACAAAATTGAAAGAAGAAGGAAGGGGAAAAAAAAACAATATATGGTTAAAGTTTGTTTTATAGAATTGAATCCAAAAGAGTTGCCATTTTATTACAAAACAATAGTAAATTACTTTATTTAATAAAGTAACTTATTATTACCTTAAAATGATTTGTTTTGTTTGGTAGAAATCTTCCATTTGCTGGAAATTTTATTTATATTTAATGTATGATCCTTGAAATTATCCTCAGTTTTTGCAATAAATGGTTCTTACTAAAATTTTTAATGCATTAATGTTTCAAATTTCTAATATTTAGTTCATCTTTTGTATACATATGAAATTTTAACTTTCTGTTCTAGAGTTTTGAGAGATGATTTTTAGGGACTGAAAAAATATTTCGAATTATTCCACCATACTACTGTATATATGTTGTGCATAGTGGAAGTTGATTGAGTGATCATAAATGTTTTCCCACTTCTCTGTCTATTGCCTTTTACTTTTGACATACCATAAATCTGATGACACTTTAGTTAATATAAGTCAAAATGGAAGACAGTAAACAGGTACCTATCAAGTGAAATGTGGAAATATTTTGTTAAGTTAAAATACTGAATGATGGTGTTTGCCTTTTAAATATTGTGATATCTTTGGGGATGTCTCCAATTTTTGAACCATGTTAGAGTGAAACCATGTAGGAACTCCATATTGTACAAGAGTTATCTGTACATAAGCAAAATGATTAACTTTTTACTGCTGAATGAATGAATGACATATTTTTTTTTGTAAAAACTATCAGGTAACAAAACAAGTTCGTACAGTGGTGCCACGAATAACAAACACTGCGAACAATAGACTTCCTGTTTGGCTGTTACATGACTCGAGCAACGGACTGGCTGTGAACAACAGCCTTTCCATTCGGCAATTATGTGAGGCGAACAACAGTCTTTCTGCAAGCAAGTGTGAATTATGTTTCCGTACTTTTGCCATTGCCAATGACATCTTGCTATTTTTATAATATATTAGTATTATTAGAATATATTATTAGTAGGCCTATATCTGAAGTACAGAGCTGCCATTGGGATTCGGCTGCTCCCTTGTTTATTACGTACATCACCTCAGTGCAGGGTATTTACATTTATTCAAGTGTTGTGCAAATCATGGCTTCTAAAAAACAGAAAGGTGATTTCAATTGAAACAAAGCAAGACATCATCAGAAGGAGTGAAAGTTGACAACAACTTCCTTGTCAAATGGGGAGGTTAAGGAGTTTATCAACACTCATTATCCAAATAGAGCTGAGGCCACCAGGATCAATGATGTCTACAGTGACACCCTTGCCTGTCATTTCTGACAGGTGTTGAAGAAGAGAGAGAAACAGACCACCTTGGACATGTTTTTCAAGAATGACCCTGCAAACTCCAGTAGCCTCTCCTGAATCTGACTCTGATTAAAAAACAATAAAAAGAGACCTGCTGCAGTGTGTAAAAAGTTTGTATCTGTATGAATGTGTGAAGAAAGTATTCCTCCACTTCCTTCTCACAACATCTGACTACACGGCATAATCTGCTCTATTTTCATTTTTTTTATGGTACAGTATGGTTATTTTATGCTGCGGAACGAATTAGATGTTTTAACATGTATTTCTATGGACTTTTCACTTAATGGACGTGCACCCGGAAATGATTAAGTACGTTATACGAGGCACCACTGTATATTCTTTCAATATTAACATTTCAGTGAAGTTAAGGAGCTTGCAGAAATTGTTTGATATATGTAATGAAACTATTTGTTTGCATTTAAATCACCTAGAAAAAAACTGAAAACTAAACAAACTTCAGTGGCTTACAATCTCACTGTTTATTCCATAAGAATGAGGATGTTTTCTAACCTTTTTGGATAGATTATATGAGTGATGATAAATGGATTGTCTTTGAAAACACTAAAGCTCAGGATTCAATAACAGAAAAGTTTATTTGATGGAATACAGTTAGTATTATCTGTTATGATTTCTATCACTGGTTGAATAATTATTGCAAAAGTCTTTGCCCAGCTCCAAAATACCGTGCACTTGTTCATTACAAAAACTTTGTGCTTCTTTAAGACATTTCTCAATCAAAAACTTCAGATTATGAGGCGTTAAATAGAATTAAAAGAAACATTTTAATCTTTCAACGCCTCATAATCTGAAGTTTTTGATTGAGTTAACTGTTGGCGTGACATCCGAGCCGAGTATTTAATACACCTAACGAGACAATTCTCACTGTCATACTACAATGAATAGCCTAAGACAGGCTGCAAAGCCTTGTTATAGAAAGTCTAGCCACTTTCTATATTCTTCACTCACAGCACCATCCAATTATCATCTTTTCTTTGCCTTGGGTTACAGTTTGTGCAACTGACAATTTCAAAATTGAGAAATACTATAAACAGTGTTGGCAGCTTTCTTCACTTTTAAAGATAGAGAGTTATATCAAAATCACATTTACAAACATGCATTTTGTTGAGAAAAGGTTATATAGTTTGCTAGTGCTTACATTCCTGAATAAATCATTTTTATTCATTTTTTACATATTACTTGATTTTACCCTTAAAAAAAACAACACACACACACACACACACACTTCTTATTGTCTGATAGATCTTTGAACTTATTATTTTAATGAATTAAAACTCAAAAAAAATGCAGATGATCATTATCAGAAAATGTAGTGATAAACTTAAATTTTATTAAAACATAGAGTTGTTGATATGGATTTAAAAAAATTCATTTTAGTAATAACTTTTGAACTTATTTTCAGTGTTTTGTGTCTTTATAACAGATAAAAATATTCATTACTATTATTTTATTTGTTGCTAATTTATGAATATATTTAGTTTTTAAGTTTACAAAATAATTATCATCAATTTTTTTTCAATGATTGAAATATATCAAATGATGATAACTGAGTTCTTCTTTCCCCAACTGAAAATTGTGAAGAAATTACAGTTCTGAAATGTGATGTTAAATACATGTTTACATTTATTGTTAAAAGAAATTATATTTATATATATTATTTATTATTATTATATATAGGAAGAACCTTATTTTCCTTTACCTGAGGGGTATGAGGATTACCGATTTATCAGCACAGTTCCATTAGAAGAACGTGAAAGAGGAGTAAAGCCACCAGAAAAGCGAGAGGATTGTGAGGTAGTTCTTATGATTAACTTTATATTCAAACATGAGAATTTTTTCATAAATTAGTGTGCTCTTGAGTTTTATTTTTGGAAAAATGAATTGGAAATCTAAAGTTAAAAAACAGTTTAATCCAGTTAGTCTTACTCTCACTGGGAAATCAAGGAAATGTCAGATAATTTCTACTGGTCAGAGAAACATATTTTACATATAGTCAGGGAATTCCTTTATTTTTTTCTAGCAATTTATGAATATTAGATTTGTACTTTGGATTGAATGACTTTTTATAATAAAACTAAAAATGTTTTAATATTATTTTTTTTTTATATTAAATGCATGTGCACAATATGAAGTCTGCCCAGTGATATTGTTTTGTTAAGTATGGATATGGAAATGAAATTTAATTCAATTAATTTAATTAATATGCATCTAAAGCTTTTGTTAGAATTTTTACTAATGTTAACCTAATTCAAAGTGCATTAAAATAAGTAGATTATTCAATTTTGAATATAACATTGTAATTTCATGTGTATTAGTAGTTCTTCAGTAATGCTATTTCAAATATTAAAAAATAACTTCTCAATGTTTACTTTTAAATAGATAATCATGATGTGTGGACTTCCTGCAAGTGGTAAAACTACTTGGGCTCTAAAATATGCTGCTGAAAATCCAGAGAAAAAATATAACATTCTTGGCACTAATAGCATTATAGACAAAATGAAAGTAAGTTATAAATTATAAACACTTTAAATATTTAATATAATATTATTTGTTACTTTTTAAATTGTTTAGCATGAGGAGTTCGTATCTGCACTCTACAGATATGGCAGAGTAAGAAATGAAATATCAAATGAAAATTTTTTGTTGTTGTTTATATACTGTATGTGGATATTATAAAGTTTCATTTTAATGGTTATTCTAATTTTATTGTTTAGCTTTTATTTTGATTCATGCATGCCCAATTAAACTGTTAGACTTATCAGTTTATAAATATAAACTATCAATTACAACGTATCAACTGCTTCTATTTAAGTGTTAATTGTTGAATCAGAAGATATTTATTACAATCTTCATATAGATATAAATCTTATTTTATGTGATTCTGTGAGATAGCTGTCACAATCAAAATGATCTCTGATTCCTTTTAATTTTATAATTATTATTACCATATTTCATTTAAAATGTTTTGCTGAAATTTTTAATATTAACAGTTATTTTTCTTCACTTAAACTGATTTTTCTGAAGTAATTCTAGTGTAGTTTTGCTTAATGTATTAATTCTATAATTTATAATCATAATTTTATTAAAACATTATTTCAGCAACTTAATAGTTCTATTTTGCCAAACTTATTACGACAGCCTCATTATATTATAATATAATATACTGAGGCTCAGTATATTATATTATAATATACTGAGGCTGTGTAATAAGTTTGGCAAACTAGCACTATTTAGTTGCTGAAATAACGTTTTAATACAAGTCTAAATAAGAAGTTAAATGAAGGATAATTTCATTAATTAAAAGTTATCAGTACTTTAATGATGATAAATTGCATTTATGTAATAAAAACATTTTTTTAAAAGAAAATTTTACAATCTTAATTTTTAGGTAATGGGACTTCCAAGAAAGAAAAATTATTCTGGAAGATGGGATGTTTTAATTGAAAAGTCTACTAGAAGTTTAAATAAATTACTTGACTTGGGAGCTAGAACACTTCGCAATTTTATTTTAGACCAGGTATGGTGCTTTAGTTAATTACAAAGTTATGTTAAATTTAATTTTCAGCACTACCATTTTATAAGAAAAGAAATTTTAAGATATCATCAGTTGTGAAATGAAGAACAATTAAGTATCCATTGAAGATAGAAGAAACACTATCAGATATTTTGAATCTGTTATGAATATTTATAAGATATAATATTTGTAATAAGTTCTAATTTGAATGAATAGAAATATTTTTAAAGTTTATCATGGAAGAAGACTTTTGTAATACAATAGCCAGTTCTATGAAAGAAAGTAAAACACTTCTATCTCAAAGAAAATTTGTGTAGAAAAATATAAATATTTGCTGAATGAAGTTCAAAAACTTCTAAACTATATCTAAGAAGATTATGTGACATAAATTAAGTACAAAGTAGTTTTTATTAGTTATGATATTTTATTATAAATTAGAAATCTTAAGTTTGTTTTTCTCAGTCTTTGGCCATAATTGCTTCTGTTAAAGGTAAGTCTAATTTCTTTTATATTATATTGGGATCACATTGTCATTTCAAGAAACAAGGTACGTATTGTTATATAGGGAAACTTAACTTAAAAACATTTTTAAATTTAATAAAATGTGAACTAGGAAAATGATTTCCTCAATATAAAAGTTATTTTAAGTAAAATTTTTTGTGATAAAAAAAATCAGCTTAGTTATCTAAGTAAGTTTTGGGAACTGGAAGAAGTTATGAAGATACAGAATATTAAAAAAAAGGTGGGGATGCAAACTACATTATGGCTATCTTGCTCTCCATCTGTAGGGAATATCGTCGTATTCTATAAAACCTGATGGATGTTTTGTCACAGGAAGTAGAGATTTTAAATGTCATTATTCTAGTGTTAATAGTTCCCAAGATAATTTTGTTATGTTATGACTGTTTAATATTAATTGTAACAACAAGTATCATAAAATTCATTAAGCTTAATGATATATCAATATAAAATTTAAAATTCTATATATAATTCTTAATTATTCTGTATATGAATATGTAATGGACATAAATGTTAGAATATTTTAATTATCTTGGAAGACATCGAAGTTAAAAACCAAGATCTGTACACGCACAAATGACTGCAACCTAAGAAGCCATCAATAAAAACTTAAATTACTAAATTTATATTGAAAATTAGTTCTTACTAATTTTCTAAGTATCTTACTAAGTATCTGAACAGATGTTGCTTAATTTTTAATGACTATTGTGAAATGCATAAACTGTCTTTATATATTTTAATATCAGATATGTTGACTTTACATGAAAATCTTGTTAATGTAAAGATCAAACATGAATTTTCATCAAAACACTTGGTAGAAATTTATATCACTTTTATAAATATATAATCTAATTTTATAGATGAAATTATTCTTAACAAGCATTTATAAAACTAAATATGTTGTATCAAAAGATGTAGAATTTGGTTCAGCAATTCAATAGCATCTGGTTTTTTTTTGTTTATAAATTATGGAGTGTCTTGTAACTTACTGTAAAAAGTAGAATATAAACTAGAAGTATTTGAATTTTTCCTTTTTACTTAAAGAAAAATATATTAACTATATTGAATTTCATTTGAAATAATTTTAAATACTACTTTCCAATTTGTATTTAAAAAAGAGGTAGCATTTGACAAAATCCACAATTGTTCCTGTTGAAATGTTAAAAATGCAATCTAATCTTTAATATATATATTTATTTTTCTCTCAAAAAAAAAAGCAAATTTTGAAAGATGATCTGATACATTAGCAAAAGGAAGAAATATGTTGCATTTGATGTGCATTGTTTTTATAAAAAATTTTTACATTAAATATTAAAACAATAATTTTAGTAATATAAAATTTATTATTAATGCTTGCTGTTTCTATTAACTTTGTTTATAGAAACTTAATTACCATGGCAATTTTAAAAAAAAAATAAGTGACCTTGCTTGTACATAATGTATAACAGTTATTTTTTTTTATCAGATGTAAATTATTATTATTATTCAATGTAATTCATAACCAGTTATAATGATATACTGTATATAAAAAGTATATCTGATAACCAGATATACTTTTTATGAGAAAGACATTACTTTGATTAAAAAGTTACATTAATATAATGTAACTTAAATATTAAGTTGTTAATATTTAATGTAATTTAACTTAAATATGATTATTTGACATTATTCAAGGTATATGAGGTTTATATTTATGATTAATGTTATGTTAATGAAATTTTCTAATTAATATGTTTATTAAGTTGGAGTTGGCATGATTCAAGAACTAATAGACTATTTCAAAATATATTAGTGTAGCTTAAATGCATAATTATATATAGTGTATAATTCCATAAAGAAACAAGAATTTATGTATTCCTTCTATACTGGCCAATTCAGTTCTGATGAAAATGCATATAAATAAAGGAGAAAATTATTTTTAATAGAAATTTCTGTAATAAACATTATTATTTCACTTGATTGAACTTTTTCTTGACTGAGTAGCATGAATATATTTAAGAGCAATTTGTTTGGCAAAAGCCTTTGGAACTTTGTGAAAATTAATTTTTAAAAGATGACAAGATGCTTTTTAAAAAAAATCAAATAAGAAATGTTTTTGATTGTTTAAGGATTGTGTTTTCATGTGTCGATCAGTTACATTACTGTTTTTTTTACATTTTTAATCAGCAGTAATTTTATACAGATAATGTGCAAGTTATTTGTGTTTTAAATGGCAGATTGAAATCAAGTATGTATTATCTTCCAATTTTGATTTAAAATTACAAATTCATCAAATAATTTATTGTTTATCATAAAGTCATCAATAACATCTTTTAATCTGATCATCTGTTCATTTTCATATCATATATAGTTACATATTTGTATCAACATAAGGATATATCTGCTATTGAAATTTTTCCTGATGCCACAAAATAAATACACCATCCATCTAGAATTAGCAGAAAAGCTTTCAGATTTCTCTTGAATGCGATCTGCTGTTCTGTTTTTTTTTCATTGCAGTAAAGAGAACTAATGTTTTCACTTTAATGCTTACAGTGAAGAGGAATTTATTGTTGGTCACAATCTTTATCGAAATTGATGTTCTTTCAATTGTTCAATGCTTATATTACAAACTTAGAAAATAATTTACAGGAAAAAAAAAACTATTTTGACTACTTTCTGGAGAGAGAATACATTAAAAAGTCTTTATCTTGTCCTTTCTACACACCTCTGGAAATAAGTATCACAGCAGTCAACTTTTCTTTGGAGTCTTCTTGTCCACCTTGAAGATGTAAAGACATTAATATATTGTTTCTTTTGAGAATTTTTGAAGTTTGTTCTTATTGTCCTGGCTATTTTATCAAACATATTCTTAATGGTCTGCAGGTTTTTTTCACATTTATCTGTTTTCAAAATAATTCATATGGTCAAGGAAGCAAATTAGTGTTTATCAAAAAGATTTAATTAATAAATATGGCTTTCTAAAAATTTTAGAAGAATGTTAAATTTATATAGAGAGACAGAAATTATTACTTATAATCAAATGATAGAGCTGAGTTAAATGAGAGAACCTATTAGATGTTATCACTTGATTATTAATACAGTTTTGGCTTAATTTTGTGTGTCACATATACAATGAAGTGTTGAAACAGGACATCAAAAATTCAGATTCAGCTATCGAAAAATGGACATTAGTCCTCTTTCAATGAAAACTTTGTTATTTGTGTTTTTCTGTATTGTTGATGCCCTAATGTTTTTTTTAGAATTCATTATTTTTTATTTAGAAATTATAATTAGTATAAGTTTTGTTTAAATATAGTGATTCTTTAAATTATACAGTATTTTAAATATTTATAAATATTCATACTTTCTTTGTTAAGGTGTTGTAAATTCAAGCCCATATTTAATTTGATTTACGGTGTTTAAGATGCTAATTTACATGTACTGTACATTTGAAAATCTGGATTGAGTCTGACCACAATTACTATTAGAAACATATGTAATTTGCATAGTGAGTTGACTATAGATCTTAAGACATCATAATTTCCTGCCTATTGTCTGCAACAGTGTATTTCATGCTTATTGTCTGAAAGTCTTACTTTTTTTTATTGACAAAAAATTTTTCTATGAGGTACAGGGGATATTTTTCATATGATTTGAGTAGATTAATATTCTTTATTTTCTATCTTGGCACATCAGCAATGAAATAATATAAGACAATTTGCAAGGACATTTAATAATTGAAAAGAAGTATTTCCAAGCTAGGCAAGAAATTAAATAATTGATATTGAAGTATACAATGAAAATTTAAAGTCTAGAATTATAAAATATAGTCAGTTCCTCATTTTTGATGGTCAAAACTAGTTTATAAAAAACTTTAGTGCAAACAATTGGTTGCATTTGCTAATGGCTAGATATAACAATTAAATGACAATTACTGTAATTAGCAATAAATACATACTATAATGAAAGTGAACTAATAATGAAGAAACATTAACAACAAAAATAAAATCAATTTCACAGGATGATTGTAATATGCCTTTGATATGATTTTTGATTTCTTTGAACATGGTTGTCTTTCTGGTATTTTTTGTTAATCTTTGCATTGATGAAAATAGTATAATTAAATTTCTTCTTTAAGAACTTTCAGGATATGTCACTAGTACAAACTTCTTCTATATTAATAGGAAACAAGACTCAGAAATGTTCTTAATTATTGTTGATTGCATAAGCTAAACTTAAAACATTTTTTTAAACAAAGATTGGTTTGGTGTTAAAAAATTGTCACATATGTGGATTGTACTTTGCATCATGAAAGTAAGAAGGTTTTTTAAAACAATCTATAGATTATAGGAAGGAAATTATGATGCATTCAGTTTTCCTAGCGCAAGGTTAAATCTATCAAAACAAGATAAATTACCATCTTAAATATCTTCGATAATTTTAATCTCATGATCTGCAAAAGCATTCCTTTGCATGAAATGTACAGTACTTAACATAGAATT